GATCTGCGGTGGAAGTGGTCTCCAGCTACAAGTACTTGGGTGTACACCTGAATGACAACCTCAGCTGGAGCAACACCACCAGCCTGATCAAGAAAGCTCATCAGAGACTCTACTTCCTCAGACAGCTGAGACAAGCTGGACTGGGAAGCTCAGTCCTCACCTCCTTCTACAGGTGTGAAGTGGAGAGCATCCTGTGCTCCAGCATCAACGTGTGGCATGGAGGCTGCACAGCTGCAGAAAGAAAAGCTTTGCAGAGAGTGGTGAAGGCTGCACAGAAGTCTGTCGGAGTCAGTCTCCCCACCATCACAGACATCTACACCTCTAGATGCAGGAAGAGGGCCACCTGCATCATGAAGGACTCCACTCACCCATCACACAGTTTTTGCCCTGCTCCCCTCAGGAAGGAGGTTGTGGAGCATTAAGTGTAGAACCACCAGACTGAGGAACAGCTTCTACCCTGAGGCTGTTAGACTTATGAATCTCTAACCAGAATAATCACTGTGAAAAAAAAAATCACTGTAATGTCACTTGATTGTTGATATGTGCTGCTGAATATCCATGTTGCTGATGTCATGCTGCTGTTTTAATTTGTACTCATCTGCTCACACAGACTCATGTTCGTGCTGCTATTCGGCATATTGTTCTTGTACTACTAGTGCTTAGTGCTTATTCTTAGTTTAACATATTACTTAGTTCATATCTTAGATCTTATTACTGTTTTTCTTTACAATTCATACTTTTGTTGGAAGTAACTGGGACCCTGTGTACACCATTTCGTTCCACCACATGTTTCGGTAGACTTTTCTTATGCCTAGGTATAGCCACACAAAAAATGGAAGTCGCTACATCACTTATTTTTGAAGTATACAGCTCAGCAGACAGAAAGATGGACCTGGGTATTTCCAAGCCCCTCTTTCTTCAGTAACGGGGGACAAATAACCCCCCAAAAACATGTCTCCCAATAGCATGCGGAAAAATATCTTAAGCATCAACTAAAAGGACCATATCCACGGTAAAACATGGTAGTGGCAGCATCATGCTCTGGGGATGCTTTTCTTTAGTTGGAACTGAGGTTTAACTCAAGCTGGATTGAATTATGAACAGCTCCAAAGACTTGTTTCCTTTGGTCTAAAACTGTTAGGTGTCTGCTAAGACAGTGAAAATAAAAAGGAATTTCATTGTTCCAAATCGCAATGTCCCCAATCAAATATCAAGAACGGTTTCACTACAAGAAAATCAAAGTTGTAGAATGACCAGGCCAGATGAAACAATAAAGGTAGGTAAAGTTTTGAAATGATTTATCAGGGTCTACCTTTCGTTTAAAAAAAACAAACAAAAAAAACAACTGCATTTAAACAGGGCTGTGTAGACCTTTTACACCCACCGTATAAAAATAATTTAAATGCATCTACCTCAAACCTTCATTCTTCCAGAGTGCTACAGTCCATGCAGTAAGTCCCCCCCAGAGCTTCATCTCTGATAACACAAGCAGTTCCCAGGATACTTTAGGTGTATTTCTGTGTCGGGTTTACTGAGTCATATCTGTGTGTCCATGTCTGTGGGCTGAAATCAAGCCTGCTCGGCGGCAGCGGTGGTGGCAGCGTTTCCTGGGAACTCCGAGTTGATATAGGAGAATCCCTGGAACTCGTCTTGGTCCAAGTTTTGAATCACTTCCTCGTCAGGTGGCGTCAGCACCGGCGGATGGCGAGTGAAAAAACGGTCAAAGTTCTCAGCCTCCCGTCCGCACTGTTAAGGGAGGGGCAGGGGAGTTGGGAGTGAGGGAGGGGTGGATCGGGAAGGAGAGGAGCGGGGATGGATAGGAATGGATGGAGTGGGTGGGGGGTAAAGAGAGGAGAAAAACAAAAGAGGGGGAATGGCAGGTTGAACCAAGGTGTGAGATGACATCACTTGAAAATGGTTTCAAATATTAGAACAAGTGGAAAAAAAAAAGCTTCATTTGAGGCTCTGTTAACCGAAACCGGCCGGAGACACAAAATGAAGCGCGCCTCATGTGAGCTTTCCTTTTTCAAATATTTGAAGCAGATATTCCAAACACAAAACGTTTCAAACATCCTGAAGCAGTGCACTGTATCATGACCTGGCAATCAGAAGTCATGCACAAAGCCAGAAGTTTCTGAAAAGGAGCGTTTATCCTGTAAATTTCCAAAACCAAACCCAATTTATTTCATCATTTAGGGAACTGGAATCAGTTGGAGTTTGTAGAATATAACACCCAATCAACCTTGAAGCTTTAAGATAATTATTAATGTAACTGATGGTTAATTGTAGGTTAATTATTTGCTGCAGCTGAGATGTGATCAGTGAATATAGAAGTTTTGTGGATGATTTAAAATCTCTAAATATTTACTACTCACATGTAGGCAAAGGCTGGTTGAAGCTATCCATTTATTTAAAAGGCCACATTTTTAAAACTACTACATTTTTCTGTCATGCCACTCCTTTAAAGTTCCTCAAATTACAAACCAGAGACAATACAGGGATTTTCACAAGTAAAGTTTAACGCAGGCTAACACTTCCCCTCCCCCGCTGTCCATCAGCTGCATATATGACGACCAAAGGAAGGGAAACTTGAACTTTTTACCTCATAAACAAAGACAATAAAGCAGTCTACTGTAGGCTCGCTAAAGGCTAACCACCCAGCTGTTTTATTAGCTAGTGTTAGCTTAACAGGCTTTCCACACTATTTATAAAGAGGAAAGTGGCTAAGAAGGAAGATTAGTCTACATAATAACTACTTTTACTTGAGTACTATAAAGTTAACTGTTATGATTTTGTATGTTTCTTTAGGTCACACGTCAAACTCAAGGACCAAGGGCCAAATATGGCCCTAAATAACAACTTATTTGGTCCCCAAGATGAGATTTTAAAAGTATTTTTTTATTATTATTGTTTCTCATTTTACTTCAAAACTGAACAAACTTTATTTAGTGCAGACTTCTCGTGACAGTCGGCCAACTTTGAAGCCAAGAAAAATCAGTGGAATTTTTCCGTAATCTGATTTTGATACAGACGAAGCGACAGAGAACGTCAAGAGTCAGATGAAACTCTTGCTGAGGAAACTGTAACCAAGAACATATATCATGTATCTGACTGGAGTTAATGTATACACTGAAACTGATCCTTGCTTTGAAATACGTTTTGAATTTTGGACCCCCTTTGTTACTGAGTTTGGTGACTTTATAAACCCTTCCCACACTTTTGCAATGTTCATAACAATGCTCTAAACGCCCTAAAAGAGCATAGAAAAAGAGGGTGGCCAGACTGATGCTACAATTACGGAGCCAATCCCAGGGTCGGACTGGCCATCGGGAGCACCAGGACATTTCCTGGTGGCCTGGCCCGCTCAGTAATTGCTGAGGGGCTGGACTAAATGCTTGGTTCAGGTCACGCTTGATTATTTTAAATAAACAATCCATGCCACTTGTGTGGGTACTTCAGGTATAAGACAGACCCCCCCGCCTCCTCCTTTCTTTTCTCGAGGCTGTCTGTTGCACGCCCACCTGTTGTGTGTTTGCTCTACTGTAACAGTCTAAGAAAGAGAAAGGAGGGGGGTGGGGGAGTCTGTCTTATACCTGAGTGAGCCGCACGCAGCCAATCTCTTTTATAAAAACTGATTCACTATTATTTTTCCACCTAAGCATTTTCTCCAATATTCTACATTTGTTCATCTGATCTGTTCATCCCTGCTCCCTGAGCAGCAGCGATGAGGAAAGACAGACCCCACCCCCTCCTTTCTCTTTCTGAGGATGTCTGTCACAGCAGAGCAGGGACATGGGCTGTTGTGTGTCTCTGCTCTGCTGTGACAAACAGCCTCAGAAAGAGAAAGGAGGGGGTGGGGTCTGTCTTTCCCCATCGTCAATCATGTACAATCTTATGTTGAAAACCTGCGATAGAGTGAGTCCACAAAAGTCGAACTGCAAAGTTTAGAGGTACTGAAATATTTATTATTACAGTGACATAAAACCTTATTTAAGCAAAAGTAGCATTTTATTTTTTAATTCATTATTAGATCATGCAAGACCTGTTTTAATTTCCTTTTTGTATTTTTTTTTTTCAAATCACCCATTTATTCATTTTGACCACAGCAGAACAACAAAACAAGCATTTAAGCTTGAGATGCACATAGCTCTAAGTGTATTAACTTGAAAACTACATTTTCTCCATGAAGTGCCTCAGAGGGACTGTTTCTCCCCATCTCCATCACAACATGACGCTTTAATTAACCCAACAAGGACTCTGTCTTCTTTGACATCCTCACCCAGAGGACTGCAGAGTTATTAAATCTCTTTAAGTCAAACATTTTAATGAAATTGACCAGGCTGTTGAGAGTTTGGGGAAATAAACCAAAAAACAACGCATTGTGTTCAATTTGCAGTTAAGGTTAAATGCTGATTTAAACTACTTGTAATGTAAAATTAGCTTTTTGAAAAATATAATGTTAAGTTCTTTGTTTTGGGAAAAAAAAAACTAATAGTTTCACATCAAAACACTCTGATTTCAGAATCACACATTTTAGATTTTGCAAGATTTCCGTCTCGTTTTAAGGATTTCGTAGTGCACTCCTTGACAGGTTTCATTTGAGACGGCGACTCAGAGCATGCAAATAAACACAAACAGGCTGGAAGACTCTGAACATGGAGAGGACAAATAAAAATATGCAGATGAAAGAACAGATGGGTCGATGCACGGCAGCACTGAACAGATGCTTCAGGAGGACGAAGGAGGAAAAATCCGACTATTGATGGCTGAACGGACATGAATAAAGACGGATGTACAGTGATAGCTTTAAATGAAATTCCAGGTTATTGACATTAGTTTTTTTTTTTATTTGTCTGATAAACAAATCAGCCCTTCAATTGGTTTGTTATCTGGTTGGTAGGTCATCATCCATTCAAAAGAGCCCAACCTTTAATTTCTGCAAAACGCTGCACACAAAACCATAAATAAATAAATATCAAAGACCAGCTAATTTCTGATTATAGAAACAAACTGCATCAAATATTCTTCGTAAGCAGCTATTAACACAAAGACATGACACAGCACTCGCAGGGGAAAAAAAATTTTGGAGTGTTTTTAGCCATAAATAAAAATGATTATAAATAAACTCTGAGAGAAGCCTGGCACAACAGAGAATCATAGAACTGCACTGAGATCCCAAAATAAAGGAAAAAACGAAATAAAGCTAAACCAAGAGGCCTGAGAGACAAAGGTGTTTGAAAGACACAATCAAACGGAGAGAAGAGACAGAAGCAGACGGAGAGAAGAGGCAAAGAGGAGAGCAGATCATAAAACTCATGTCAGCCGTCACATCAGAGGACTTTACAGAGCTGTGCTGCAGCTGCCAGGTCCTAATGGTGACCTCTACTTTCTTCTAGACTCCAAACTACAAATGCACACACACACACACACACACCCTCGCGCTCATACACACACATACAGTGTAAAACCCCTGCAGGCAGAGAAAGCTGCATAAAAGCTCAACTCAGGAAAAAAACTCTTAAGCAGCAGAGAGGCCTGAGGCTACAAACGTGTGTGTGTGTGTGTGTGTGTGTGTGTATGAGCAACTATAAATGATGTCATTCTAACTAGAGTTATGATAAAACCCATTTTGTCATAGGCAGGAAAAAACAAGCAAACACAAACACTGTTGTTTTAATGATCTTTGCTATAAATTCAAGCTCAAACTTTATTTTATTTTTTTCTAAATTTTGTCTAACCCCCCCCCCCCCCCCAAAAAAAACCCCTAACCCTCTCACTCACATAAAACACAACAACTCCAAACTTCAGGCATCAATTTTTGGACAAAATGGACAAAAAGTCTCCGGGAACCGTTAGCATTTTTGCTGCTATAATGATCGCTGACCGTGTTCTCCTTCTTCAGCAGCAACATGAATATATTCTGACTTACCTGTGTGCAATGTGCCGTACAGGGAGAGGAGGAAAGAGACAGAACGTCACAGAGACAGTGAACAGACGTGCAAAATAAAACAGCAATATAAAGAGAAAGTTAAGAGTGAAAGAAGGAGAAGGAGGTGTAAAGTTTCTGCACATTTACCCCGAGCAGGAGGGATTAAGCTCCTGCTCTCTGCTCAGGTGGAGGAGTGTTTTCATGCGATTTGCACATTCCTGCGTTTGATCCGTACGTCTCACTTACAGCTCTGGGTTTGAACGGCGGCTGCACCTCCTTGTTCTCCAGTTTCTCCCAGTCCATGTAGCGGAAGAAGCTGTGGTCCCTGATGTCTCTCTCGCCTTCCGGACCGCAGCCCAGCCGCTTCGCTGGATGCTTCGTCATCAGCTGGACACAAAGAGAGGACAGCCATGGTTCCTGCCATCTTTTCCTCCATACTTTCTCTGCTCTCTCCAGTGTCTATAATCTTTCTCTGTGTTCTAACATCTTAAGTGTTTGCAAATGTGCAGAAGCTGTCAACACCAATATGCTTTTCCTGCTCCCCATTGCTCCATCACTACCCTCTTGTTGCCATCCTGATTATTTATGAATTACTTTTTATCTGCAGATGTTCATGTCATACAGGCCTGTCACGATAACAAATTTTGCTGGGCGATTAGTTGTCTCAGAAATGATTGCAATATATAATAATATTGTTTGAAATTTGACAATAATTAGTAATTATTGTCAAATTTAAGAAGAAATGTTTGCTCATTTGTTTTGTGTGTAGTACTTTTTTCGATCACCGAATGGCAGTATAAGATCGCTTGAACAGAAGGATGGATAGTGAGGGATCGAGCAGCGTGTCTCTTTAAGGAAAATGGGAGGGAGGCCCCTTGACATGACACGGGCTGTCTCTTGTTGCTGTTTTTTCGGTCCTCAAAATGGCAGACACTCGGTGTGGTTTGAGCTCTTTAGCATAGCATTTGCCACACAAAGCTTTTAATCAAATCAGTAAACAAGTTCTCAGCTTCTTTTTGCAGACAAAAACAACTTTTTACATGAAGGCACAGGTTTCAACCGTGAATTTTGGAGCTTTTACAAGACGGAGATGTTTTTCCAAGGTCGGCCTGTTAGCTTAGCTTCTCAGTTTAGCTGCTTTTAACGATCCAAAAACGTGATTTTGGATGGTTAAAATGGATTTTAAAGAGAAAAGAGAAAGAGAGGGGCCAGTGAAGAGCACCGGAGTTTAGCTTTTTGTCATCCAGTGTTTTCAGTAGAAAGAGAGAGACACAGAAAGAAACGATAAACTGATAAATGAAAATGAGGTTGATAATTTTCATTTATCATGCAATTAACTGATTTATTTATTTTCAGGCCTAATGTCGTACAATAAAAACTGCCTGTCTAAAGGTTCTTGCCTAACTTCATTGTTCCAACTTGTTCTGGTGCAAATGCCCGTTGTTTGTGTGCTCACTCTTCAGCTGCTGATGCTGCATGAACATTGTTAACACTTTGCCTGTGTTACTGTTGCACTGAATGAAGATGAACAGTTCAGCACAGCAGAATGTCAGCCTGGTCCATTACTGAGTTTGTAAGATAAAAATTGAACAAGAAAAGTCGACAGCCAGAGAGCTTCCCCTCGGAGAAAATGCTGTTTTGAAGTGATCAGTTTAAGGAGACTAAAACTTTAAGGAAAATGAAAGTGTCTAAAACTGAGATAATCTCGTTTAAAATGATGAAGTTATGGCAAACGTAATGGTCAAAGCTGGAAAATAATCTTCTGTGCAATCTCACAAGATCTTGTGCAATCTATTAGTACTCATGGTATATATTGTGTACAACTCAGGTACTACCACATCAATTTTAAGCTCAATATAATATATAATAAACTCTAAAGGGCCTTCTCCTACTCCGCTCCTGTTTCCTGGAACATCTTACAAAAAGATCTGAAGCTCTCGACCTTGACCTCTCTAAGTGGCTTTAAGAATCTGTTGGACTCCTGGCAGGGACCAATGCAGACATGTTCCTGTTTTTAGTTTTCTACATTCGCCTTATAATCTAGCTGTTTTTGTTACTTTTTTTGCCATCTTATTTGTAAAAAAATTTTTTTTTTTAATCTGTATGCCTTTTTTGTGGCTGTCTGTTGTTGTTGCTGTTGTCCATTGTTGTCATCATTCTTTGTTGAAATCAGGTCTCTCTTGTAAATGAGTCATCGAGGCTCAATGGGATTTACCTGTCTAAATAAAGGTTGAATGAAAAATATCTGTAAAAAGGACTAAGTTAGAACCATGTTTGTGTTTAACATCATTTAGCTGAGGCGGTCATGAACTGGATTGATCTCAACGGTAAATTTATTGTAAAATACACTGCTCAAAGAAAATTAAAGGAATACTTTTTAATCAAGAGTATAATATCAAGTCCGTTTAACTTCTGGGACATTGATCTGGTCAGACATTTGTCCCACCTCAACTTTTTGACTGCTTTTCAGTAGTTTTGCATTTGACTATGGTCAGTGTCACTACTGGAAGCATGAGGCGATACCTGGACCCTACAGATGTTGCAGAGGCAGTGCAGCTCCACCAGAACAACACATCAATTTGTGCCATTGCCAGAAGGTCTGGCCTGTCTCCCAGCACAGATCCAAGAGCATGGAGCTGGACAGGCTAGTCAGAGGTCCTTAACTCATCAGCAGGACTGGTATCTGCTCCTTGGTGCAAGGAGGAGCAGGATGAGAACTGCTAGAGACCTACAAAGTGACGTCCAGCAGGTCACTGAGGTGAATATCTCTGTGACCAAACCATTAGAAACAGACCTCATGTGGGTGGCCTGAGGTCCCGGCGTCCTCTAGTGGGCCTTGTGCTCACAGCCCGGCACCATCGAGCTCGACTGGCATTTGCCAGAGAACACCAGAACTGGCAGATTCGCCCTGATCTTTTCATAGATGAGAGTGGGTTCACTCTGAGCTCATGTGACAGACAAGAAAGGGTCTGGAGAAGCCACAGTGAACGTTATGCTGCTTGCAACATTGTTCACATGATCGATGTGGTGGTGGGTCAATGTTGGTCTGAGGAGGCATATTCATGAAGGGATGCATGGACCTTTACATGATACACGATGGCATCCTGACAGTCATTAGGTATCAGGATGAAATCATTAGACCCAATATTAGACCCTTGGTTGGTGCAGTGGATCCTGTGTTCCTTCTGGTACATGATAATGCGGCGAAAGTATGCCGGTAGTTTCTGAAGGATGAAAGAATGGATGCCCCTCCACACTCACCTGACCTAAATCCAATGAAACATCTGAAACATCCTGTTTAGGTCTATCCAACACCACCAGGTTGTGCCCCAGACTTTCCAGGAGCTCATTGATGTCAGGATATGGTGGTTGATCAGTTTGATTGGGGCCAAAGCCCATCGTTTCCATCCATTTATCCATCCATCCATCCATCCATCTATTATCTTTTAGCCGCTTTTCCTTTCTGGGTCATGGGGGTCACTGGTGCCCATATCCAGTAGTCAATGTGCGAGAGGCGAGGTACACCCTGGACCTAGTCTCCAGTCCATCACAGAGACAAACAACCATGCACTTTCTCACTCACACCTAGGGACAATTTAGAGTTAACATTCAGCCTAACATGCATGTTTTTGGTCTGTGAGAGGAAACTGGAGTACCCGGAGAAAACTCACGCATGCACGGAGAGAACATACAAACCACCCAGATAGGTCCCTGGCCAGGATTCGATCTGGCAAAACCCAACTGAGGGGCAGCAGCTCTACCAATTCAAGTTCAAAGTTAATTTGAGTAATTAGGAGTTACACTGACAATATAAGAGGAGAGGTAGGATTTTATTTTTGCTTGTTTGAGGCAGCGCAGAGTGACAGATCCTGTTGATTGGAGGAAACCATTTCATCCACCACCAGGTGCAATGGCAGAGCCAGAGTTTGGCCAATGAGGGCCTTGGCCACCATAGATAGAACTTTGGCCACCCTAACTATATTGCTGTATAATATAGCCTAACATACAGTATATATAATTATATAACATTCCAGTCTTCTCAAATAAATGGGGTACATACATGCATATACCCACCCACCCTCCTATAAAAGCACACTACAACAAAATAGAAATCCAAGTTGAACGTCCAGAGGACCTGACTTAACTTTTTTAGCAAAATCCAAGTTGCTTATTTTTTAAGTTATCCAGCTCACAAGGTTAATTTACGTACATGTACATTGGCAGCCACACTTTTTGATTGGGACTTTTCATACTCCTTGATGCAGAATACACCAAAATGGAAGTCCGTTTCTCACTTATTTTTCAAGTTATCATGCTCGCAACGCGCACGAACAGAGGGTATTTCTAAATCCCCCTTTTTGCTCCCCAACGGTGAACAAAAAACGTGTATTAAGCAAAACATTTCAAGCTCACTTCTTTGACGTAGTAATAAGGCTTCAGCACACATTTCCCAATAATGCTTCTTCTGAGCGGTAACAATAACCAAACACAACTGTCACTCTTTTTCTTCTGTTTGAGGAACTAGAGCTCAAGAAGAGGGTGTTCCAACATTTGCTGCTCCACAACAGGCGGAGTATTGTGAACAGCAGAGGAAAAGCTACATACTGTATCTCTTCTGGAATTATTAAAGTTGTCTGGTAGCTTGTTTAAAATTAATTTCTGTGGAACAAACACACACAAAATGTGGTCTGGAGCGGAACCAATTATCTTCACATCCTGTTTCAGTTCTTCCGTGCAGAACACAAAAAGATTTGAGTACAAAGTATAAATAACACGAGCAGCAGCTACTTGGTTCAATAAGTTTAAACTGTGGTCTGACCCTTTTTACAAGGGTTGCTTCATATTGTTTTACTCATTATTAAATCCTGAAAAGACATGAAGACTTCCTAACACTAATTTATACCTTCCTCACAACAAGGACTTCTTCTACTGCAGCAGTTGTCTGCAGGCACAATTAAGAAAAGTTTACAAAGTCTGTCCAAACCTGACCTTTGAGGTGAGTGACGTCACTGACAGAGTGTGTGTAGGTGGGGAGATGCCATCATAACTCATCACATTGAAGTCAGAATAACATTTTAAGTGTAATCAACCGTATACGTGCATGCAACTGTGTGCACGTGTAAACACAGTGATAAGAAACCAAAGCGTGGGCAGTCTCATGTCCCAAAATGACCCAGGATTTTTGCAGTTAAGTTTTCATCAACAGATCTAATGCTTTATGAGATTTTCTGTTGACTTAATAATATTCTACCTCTCTATTTATGACATGAACCTATTTCTGATTGACCTGCTTCTCTTTGTTTGTCCATGTTATCACCTTTTATACATCTTTTTTCCCCCAGGAGGATGACATATGGTAGCAGGAAGTATTTCAAGCAGATGAAAAC